CTACAGGTATAAACACAGCTGTCAACTGACTCAGGACACTGCGAGGTTATGGAGGGCAAGTCAGGGCAAGCTCGGGTAGGAGAGTAGAGTCCTCCCGAACAGGAAATCAACACATGTGTTTAAACCAGAGAAATCAAGAAATAGTTCAGAAGTGTTATTTAGAAACACACGGAATACCAGAAGAATCTACTAAAGGAGATGCGGTCCTTGCCTCCTGGTGGGGAGTATTCATGGTGGATAAGGAGTGAGGCAGGAACTGCTGTTTTTGTTATAAACTTTGCAGAATACGTTTAGTTTAAATTATATGCAATCTTATTTGGCTGAAAAATTAAGTACAAAAATAGCAATATCAAATACAAAGTAAGAAAACCAACGAGGGTGATGGGCTCCTCTTGGCGGAAGAGAGGAGCTGAGCATGAGGCCAGCACCCTGTGCACCCTGGAGCCCCAGTGCCAGCATTGGTGGCCCTCAGGACAGCACAGGCCAGTCCCACCTTGCTGGGCCTCGAGGGTGGCGGAAGCCATGGTGCACCTTGAGCCCCCTTGTCTGGGTCCAGGCCTGGGGGCCCTCCCACGGGGACGCGGCCTCTCGTGCAGGGACAAGACCCAGGCCCTCTCTCAGCAGAACCCCAGCCAAAGTGGCTCCAGAGGACAGGTCCCACCACCCCGCCTGCAGAGGCCTGTGTCTCCTGCCTGGCCCCTCGCGGACCCGAGCGGGCTGGGCACAGGAGGGTCAGGCCAGGCTCAGGAACTCAGATCCCACGCATTTATCTGGGCGTCCAGGGCATGGATGGGATCGCGGAGGGGAGGTGCAGCTGTGGGACTTGCCTGGAGGCTCCTGGGTGCTGAGCTCCAAGCAGAGGTAGCAGCACTGACACTTTTTGGTGGCTTAAAAGAAAGCTCCAACATACATTTAGGGAACTGCTGCACTGAATGTTCAGCATGCTGTGGCGAAGGCACTGTGTAAGCGGCACCCAGGAACCCCCAGGAGGGAGACCAACTTCCCAGTGTGCTGGGGTGCAGGACATCCGTGCTGACCCCAGAAATGTCCTGGGCAAACGGATGAGTCACCCTGGGCAAGGGGGCCACCCTGACTTTCCGCAGCGTGTAGGGTAGTCCTTCACTCGCAGCTGCGCTGCACCAGGCGTGGCAGCAGGACGCTGTGCACACCTGTGCCTCTCTCTGCACAGGTGGCTGGGCCAGAGCCATGGGGTCAGGGGGCAGCTACCCCACCTAGTCTCACAGATCCCCCGTTTCTGAATCAGTGGTGCACGGCATACTCCTGCGAAGGAAGTGAACTTTTAATGCTCAAATGACCATTGCTCCAGTGTCCAGCTCCACCTGGACCTCATCCCCCCAACCCCCCGCACCATTGTGCCCAGTATTCCTGAGGGTCCCAAGGAGCTGGCACGAGCTCACACCCCCGACTGCTCTGCAGTCACTTTGGCTCCCACCTCCTGTGTCCTGCTGCCGTCCCAGCCAGTGGACTCTGAAGTGCCTGGCAGTCCTGTGCTGCCGCAGCTGGGGGAGCAGCCATGTGGCCCTGGAGCTGCCTGCCCCCAGGGCGGCTGTTAGGACATGGATGCTGGGCCTTGCCCTGGCCTTGCTCCACCTGTCATCTGGGACCTTGCAGCATTTTCCCACTCTCAACAGTGGTCTCCAAATAACCCCCACCCCAAGACATAGATGCACCCAAACACACTCGGCCAGAACAGGCCCGCACACCCTGCAGAGAACCACAGCCTTCGCAAGCACATGCAGACCGGCCAGCATAACCCCAATTCCCACAGGACGCCCCAAACGGCAGTCTCAGCTGGCCATGGGTTCATATCCAAGCTGTGCACTTACCTGCTATGTGACCCTGGACAAGTGACCCAGATCAGGGACTCAGTTTCCTCCTTTATAAGTAAGACTAGTGTGCCCCCTGGAAGCCAACAGTAAATGCCTGAGTCACTGGGAGGCGGGGTGCTTTTCTCCTTTCACCCCTCCTGCCCACGTCCCACATGGCACTGACACACCCCAGCAAAAGTTCCCCAGGCCCCCACCGTGTCAACTCCAGACCCGGAATGGAACCTCTCAGCCCCTCCCTGGGTCCACTCAGTTGGCCAGGGATGAAGGGGGCCTTTCCAAAACTAAGACAGATCCCACCCCTAGACAGAACCCCTGGGCCCCTAGGCAGGATCCAGGACCCTGACGTCCTCCTAGAGGGGCTCAGTGGGTGTGGCCTGTCCCCAGAAGCCAGTTTTTCTGCTCAGGCTTGGCCAGCATTGGGCCCAGGGTGTGCAGAGTTCACTCGCTATCCACCCAACAGACCGCCAGCAACCACCTGGCTATGCCCACAGGTCCTGGCCTGAGCACTGGGGTCAGAACACTAGGAGCTGGGGCTGAGGTTCCTTGGCCAAGGCAGGAGGTGGCTGGGAGGCTCTTCCCCAGGCCCTCTGCACTGGACAGCCCACGCCAGAGACCCTGGAAGCCATACTCCAGGCGAGGAGCAAAGCAGCGGTGAGGCATCATGCAGGTGCTGTCTCCCACCCCTCCCAAGAAGAGTCCCCAGTGTGTGCCCAGAACCACCCCCACCAGCTCTGGCCTGGCCAAGCCCCCTCTGGCCAGCAGCCAAGCCGTGGCGGCACAGAAGGGTGGGGAATGAGTCCTGGACCACAACCACAGCAATGGCCCCCCCCATCCACTCCAGGGCTCCCAAGGCCTGTGGGGGCACAGGGCAAGGGAGGAGACAACAGGAGAAGGGCCAGCTGTGCCCCATGAACTGCGGAAGGGCTGGGGGCCCATAGGGAGGGACCAAAAAGGTAAAAATAAGAAAGCCCCACGATTGCCTCCCAAGGCTGCAGTTATGGCCCAAAGACTTCCAAACCACAGAATGGGGTGCACTTCGCAGCATGCACCTGGTGAGGAATTGCCCACCTGAGGGGTCTGTGAGCACGGGGGACTGGTAACCTGACAGGACATGTCCCCTCCCCACAGCAAGGCCTCAGTCAAGGCACTGCTACCGTTGGGACCTGGTGACTGTGGTGGGGTATCCTGGGCGCTGTGGGGCATTGAGCAGCATCCCTAGCCTCCACTCACCAGATGCTGGTGGCACCTCCTGTAGTGACAACCACATGCCCTGGTTTAGAACCACTGCCCTGGAGCAGACAGCTGGCCTGTAGGCCCCCAGCTTGTCCCTGCCAGGCCTGAGTGGCTGCAGTGGTGCCTGGGGTGCCTGGCACTGTGGGGCCTGTCCACTCCTGGTGGCATCAGACGGCCTCCTGGTCAAGTTCCCGGAGGCAGAGCCTTCCATTATGTTATCCTTGCTAGATGTCTAAGGCAGGGAACAAGCTTGTGTCTGGTTTCCCCTCCCACAGCGGGAAGAGCAGGGTGAGCCAGGGGGCTCCTGCTTGGCAGGCAGGCAGATGGACATGGGTGGAACTGGCAGCAGCAGCTGGGGAGGCTGGACCCGGCACCCACTCCAGGGGAACCTTCATGCTGGGACCCAGGCCCGGGCCCCCTGCCCAACGCAACTCACAACGCGGGACACCAAGACCCAGAAAGAACACCTGTAAGCCTGTCTGGTTAGACCCTCTCTGGCGACTGAGCCGGCAGGAATGGGCTCCACCCATCTGGCTCTCGCAGGTTCCAGGGTGCTGCTGAACCCAGGAAGCAGGCTGCTGCCACCTTGTGGCCACCCATGGGAGACACGGACGCCCCACCATGGCCTCAGGTACCCCAGGCCCCAGTGACTGCCAGCCCTCCAGGGCAAGGCCAGCTTCCTGGTCCTCCCAGCCCACCACACAGGGCCCCTCTGTGTCCTAGGTGTCAAGGAAAACCTTGGTGGACAACGAGTAGGGTAGGGACCCCCTGGAACCCGGAGCATCGGGGAACTGCCAACAGAATCCATTCCAGCATAAAAGAATCCTCTGGAAGACTCTCACTGACACCCTCGTGGAGACTAGCCTACAGGGGTTCAACCCCGGCTCAGAAATGTTTCTGTGACCAAGATGAGAAGTCCTCCTAGCCCTGGGGGCAGGGGGAGCACCTGGCCTCCCACCTGATGGCTCTGAAGGAAGCCATCTTTAACTAAGATGCTAGGCAGCCATGGTGGGTGGAGGCAGCCGAGGTCAAGACTCACCTCCTGACCGCAGCTCCAGCCTCACACAACCTCTCCAGACCCTGCTGTCAGGGATGAAGACCTCTTAACCCAAGGAAGAGTGACCCTAAACCCTGACCAAGGAAATTCCAAGGCTGCAGTTGCAAGGCTTTTTCAGCCCCCCTAAATAGGCACCCTTCCTCAGCTGGCCTCATCCCTGAACCTTCCCAAGCACACCCTCTGAGGCCAGCCCTTCCTGATCAGCCCCCACCCCCATGCCCACTCAGAGCCCCAGAAGTGGCAGGGGCTGAGGAGCGGAACAGCAGTCAAGTGACCCGGGCTGAGGTGCCTGGGTAGGCTGGCAGCCCTGCTGACACCCTGCCTGGCCCTGTTGTGTACACAGCCTGTCTCAGAGAAGCAGGATAGCTCAGAAGGCCACTCAAGGCCCAGGTAATGGAGGCTTCAGGGGCCAGCTTATCATCTGTGGGGGGTACCAGGGTCTTCTCTGCCTCCCCTTGCTGACTCCCCCCACCCCCCACACACGTAAAACATAACCTGGCCCTACCTCTGCCTGGGCATCCCTAAGTCCTTACCCCCTCTATACACAGGGTGAGTCTGCCTCCCCCCAGGAGGGCCAGGCGTGAGCTCTGCTGTGACTCCTGCGGCCCAGCACACATCAGATGCTCATGAGCAGTGAGGCTGTCATTTCCAGCACCATCAGGATGGCCAGGAGCCAGCGGGGCTGCTTCTAGCACCAGGACAAGTGCCAGCTAGGGAAAGGAATTGCCAATCTGCCATCCTGGGACCTCAGCCTCCTGCAATGCTAGAAGCTGGTGCCAGGCTCCGCCCCACAATAACCCAGCACAAGCAAAAGAGGCACCAGGCCAGCCTGGGGACAGGTGGGCTCTTTGAACTTTTTATTACAATGGATCACCAGTAGCAATGGCAGGTGGGAATGGGACTTTCATTTGCCCTTCAGGTAGATCTTAGGGGTCTGCCAGCCCTCAGGAGCTTCTTTCAGTCCAGCCCTCAACCAGATGCGTCGCAGGTCTCTCTCAAATTTCATCTGTGAGGGCAGAAGGGGGATCGCTGGCTGGCATGTGGGAATCCAGGCAACCTCAGCCACCTGCCCACCCTGGGCCGTCAAGCAGCCCCCGCATCCCCCTCCTCAGCTCACCTGCTTCCGTTTCAGGCGCCCCTCCCGGACCTTCCGCCGCAGAAACCGAGTCCTCTTGACCAGCTTGCGGTACTTGTGGTGGTTCATCTTCCGTCGGCGGATCTTTAGCACATTTTTACACTGTACCTGGGGCACATCCAAGACACCCTCATCCCCCTGCTCAGCCCCCTCCCCCACATGACTAGGTGGGCACTCATAGAGCTGGGAAGGAGTCACAGTCCCTGGGATCCCAGCACCCAGGCTGGGCAAGAGGCAGCGAGCAGTGAGCCAGCTCTCCAGGGGGCTGATGGACATCTTCCGGGGGACCAACATCTCCTCTAGTTCCAGCTGGGCCTCCCTGCCAGGGAGGGAGGCAGCCTTGCTTGGGCCCACCGGTTGTGTGCTATAGCAGGGCTTCCAGGCATGGGCGCCTGGCACCCCTGAGACAGGCCAGGGCAGACTGCGGCCTGTGGAAAACAAGATGGCAGTTAGCACTGGTGTCTCAAACATCAGCCCTGACTGCACACTTGGTGGTCCGAACCCAAGTCCTGTCCTGAAAGCACTACCAACGTCGAGGCCCACACTTCCTTCCTTTGTGTGATACTCGGATGTTAGCCTTCCCAGAGCTCAGCAAGGGCCCAGAGCAGGGTAAAGAGTTTGTGCAGCCAGGCCCCTGGCTCCAGCTGTGGGGAGGTGAGTTGGGCAGCTGAGCCCCACATTCCTAACCTAGGTGTGTCCCGCTCATCTGCCCCCAGAAGGATCTTACCTGCCCGTGAAGCAGCCCTGACCAGCTGAGAAGTCAGGCGCACCAAGAACATTGTTTGTGGGTGGCGGCAGCTCTAGGCGCTCAGGCGAGCTGGAACACAAGTGCCCGTTGACAGGTCAGGTGAGAGCGGCTGGGCAATGCCTTCAGCTGTCCCAGGTAGGCTAAGATGGAGAAAGACGGTCATGCCCAGACTCCCGCACTGCACCATCATCGGTCACCCGATCTCATCATATGAATACTCCAAACCCGGCTCACTCCCTCATACAACCAGACTAGGACTCAAATCCCACTCCCCAGCTGCGTGACTTCAGTCGGGTCACTGACGCTCCTAAGCCCGTTTCCCCCACTAATGCACCCAAGCCCACAACGTGGGACGTGGGTGGCGTGCGAAAGCACCAGGAGGCAATACTGGTGCCCTGCGGCGGGGCCGATGGCTTAGGGTCCCAGGACTCAGGAGACAGGTCCTGCCCGGGTCCCAGCTTTACCTGGGCGCAGCTCGTGCTGCCCAGCGCCGGGGCCCTCTCGACTGTTCCCGGAGCCCGCACGCCGCAGCCTCTCCTGCCCTAGTCCTCCCGCCGACCCTTCCTAAGCCCGACCCCCGCAAGCCTCAAACTGACCATTCTGCCGCCGCGCTCGGGCACTTCCGGTCCGTCCCCAAACCGGCCCCCAACTCTGTGTACGGCCGCCCGGCGGTTTCTAAGTCCAGCCCCCTTGGCGTCCTCACAGTACCCGGTCTCGCGTTGCAGGAAGCCCCGTCGCGCCCAGAAAGCATCGGCTTCCGGTGAGAGGGGCCGCCCTCCTCGTCCCCACTCCCACCCCCAGCGCGTTAGCTCCGCCTCACGCCTTACATTTCTCATAATCCCCAAGGAGTGCAGTCTGCGCCTGCGTGATCCGAACTCGCAACACATCCCGACCGCTAGAGGCCCGGTCTTTTAGAGACGCGAACGCTAAGGCAGACGTATGGGGTGTTCTCCCAGTGGCGGAAGAGCGTTTTCCGAGCGACGGAAGTAGTATTTTTGGAGCGACGAAGCAGGCTAGAGCGGCTGTCTCGGCATAGGGCGGAGGCGAGGGGACTGGAACCTGATGATAGAGACCCAACCTCCCCCGACTTCACTTCTGGGTCCAAGGGGCAGCCCTGTGGGTGGTGAAGACGGCAGATGCCTGATGGGGACGCGGTCAGAGCTTCCGGGCCCCTCTTTTCTACCCTTACGAAGCTCGGACACCAGGAGTCGCCCATCGTTCGCCGAGCCCTAAAAGAGCAGGTGCTGGGTGTATTGGGGGCAGAACCCGGGGTGCCCGGCAGGATGACTCCTGCGGGGTCTCAAGGCGCCTGTGCCTATCCTTGCATTGGCAGCTGAGGAGACCCCCATCCTTTTGGTCTGGCAGTCTCTGTTAAGTGAAGGAAGCCCCGCATCTAGTGCTTTTTGCATAGGTGGATTTCTTTTTCCTTTTGAAAAGCAAACAAGCTCCCGTCTCTCGCATATCGTGGCTATAGAAAGAAAAATCAGACTCGACACTGTCCGGAAACCAGAAGAAACCTAGACGATGGCATTTGGCTGAGTCCCCCCATGCTCGTCCGCAGGATTGGTGGCTTCCAAGGCATCATTTCACCTCTCTAGTCTTGAAAGGCCCCATTGTGCTTCTCCCTGAGGTTGGCTAGGACGGACAGGATCCCCATAATGGACGCCGGGACCTGCAGGGGAGCCTGGTGGGGAGGGAGGTGGAGAGGGGCTGCTGAGGGTCCCCATTGGGCCTGCCCAGAGCCTTACCTTGTAGGAGAATCTTCCAGAGTGTCTGAGCAGGAAGTGACTGGGTAGGGTCATCCCCCGGCCTCATTCTGGCCAAGAGGAAGGATAGACCAGTCTGAAGGCAAAAAGCCCAGGATCAGCCTTACAACTGAGGTTACAAAGTAACCCTGAGCAATGACTCCTGTGCCCCACCTCCCAGAGGGGCTGCTCTGGGGTCCCAGGCAAGAATGTCTGAACATGTTCTGCAAGCCCACCCTTCACTCACCTCAGCTGCACAGCCCTCCCTCCCCATGGTGTCCCCATGTCTGTGCTCACCTAGCCAGCTTCCAGGACACACACAGCCCCTCAGATACAAGCCCGCTGCCAGACAGCGGGCGCTTGTGTGGATAGCAGTCTAGGCAAGGACAGAAGGCACCCAGGCAGGGGTTGTCAGCTGTGCCTCCAGGCTTCTGAAGAGTTGAGGTGGAGATCGAGTATCCCCTCACAGTCAGTGACTAATGGGGGTGGATGGGGTGTTGAAGCTTCAGTTTGCTAAAGTCATGGAGGGCAGGATAAGCCAAAGCATCCCCCCATCACCTCCACCTCTTGTCCCAGGAACTAGCCAGGTTCTGGTCTTCAGGGAGGTGAGGCAAGGAAAGCCTAGGCCAAAGGGAAGGGGTCCAGCTGGAACTGCTCCCTCCCCTGGGCAGTGCAGCATGGGTCCATGGCTGGGCATCCTCCTCCTGTCACCAGCGCTGTGTGTAGCCTGCTCCTGGGGGAAGTGGAGCAGCCACCCTGATGAGGGGTCCGTGTCTGTCCCAGAGGAGTGACAGGAACGCCTGGGAGGCATCAGATGAGGCAAGAGCAGAGCCTGCTGAGCTGGGTATGAGCCAAAAGCCGACTGGAAGATCACTTTTCCACAAAGACCTGAAAATCTGGAAAGGAAGACTGCAGTGGCAGAGCTGGGGGGTGGGAGGCATGCTTTCTAATTCAAAGGAACTCTAGTCTTTCAAGGAAATTACACAATCAATGCACGTATTTTTGTTTTTCCCAAAATATCCATTTGCCTCCAGAAAAGCTTTTCTTCAGAAACATCATAATCTTGAGAAAGTTTGCATCTCTGGCCTGGGAGTTGGAAGGGCAGATGGGGGTGGTGCCCCTGCTGCCTTGTCCGGGTTGGGGCCAACCTGGCAGTGATGGAGCCAGCTCCTACCAGCTCAGGAGAGCCAACTGTTACAAGTTTTCAGGACTTTTGTAAGCCAGTTGTTGAATAGCCATTATTAAGAATGATATAAATTTACAGTTTAATAAATTATATTAAAAACAAAGCCCAGTACTTTAAACTCATCACTTACTCTCCCTTAGATTGCACCTTTTACTTAGGGGAAGGGAGTTGTCAACCCATACCACCACCACAGGATGGGGTGGCCACAAGCTGGTCCATGTGTAAGACAGCCCATGGGCAGGCAGCCATGGACACTGTATACCACAAGCTCCCAGTCACCCTGTAGTGTCACCCTAGTGCCCACTCCAGACCCCTCCCACCAGGGCTCAGTGCATGATGGCCCAACCTAGCTGTATCCTCCAGCTTGGGGCCCGAGTCCAGTGTTGCCCCCAGCAGCCTCCCCGCCACCATGTCACCGCAAATGCATCAGGTTCCTGGCAGGAAGCTGGGGCTCAGTTGGACTATCTGCTGACTTGGGTCATCAGCGTGATCTCAGCTTTCTGCTCTGTCCCAGCATAGGCTCTGGCAAAACTGAAGGGATGTGTCTTGGGAGCCCAGACTGTGTTGGCTGAGCTATGATAGTCCAGGGGCTCTTGAAACTCCAGACTTCCCGCTGTGGTTGCGCTCCCCTGTGGGGCAAGGGTGAGGGCTGAGGCCTCACACCTGCTCCTGGCCAAACCCCTCCCCAGCTCGGACACACCTGCGGTTTCGGAGAAAGCAGGGCTTGTGAGGTGCAAAGGGCAGTACTGGGTCAGTTTGGGTGCCTCTAGCTGGCCAGACTAGCTCAGGGCCTGTACCAGGTGACTTGTAGGGAAGGATCTGGGGTCTAGTGGTGTCGTTGGTGAGGCTACACACTACATGCCACCCCAGGGGTCAGTCTGCAGCCAGCTGGGCCACACTGTGCTGAATGCCTGAGGGAGGGAACGAGCTGGCACAGGTACAGCAGTGACAGAGAAGGTCAAACGTGTAAGCCCAGTTCCTGGCATGGAGGGGTGCACATGAGCCAGTAAGGTCCAAGCCTCAAATACTACCAGGCCAGGCTGCCCAGTGCTTGTGGGGCCGGCCGAGGACAGTTCAGTGAGCCACCGAGGCGATGTGGCTAACTGAGAGCATCATCTGTTCATTATTGTGGCAGTGTGGTCGACTGGGACCCAAGTGAAGGTCGAGGGCCACGGCCCAACCAGAGTGACAGATGACCACAGGCAGCCTGGACCAACAACTGGTGGAACGGTGACTTTCCAGGCATACTCTCAAGGACAGATGGGCAATCTGTGGTGTAAAGAGCTCTTTTATGTGGCCTTTTGTCTTAGTTCTTTAGTAAACCTGCTTGGGAGATATTCCCCCTACGCCCTGAGGAGTTGTTACCTTTGCCCTAATTCTTCAGAGAAGGCGGGGAGGGCTTCCAGTTTGCTCTCTATTCCAAAGAACTTGTTACTTTTGCCCAGTTGATTCCCCAGGTTGTTTGACATTGCCTGGGTAAGCTACAATTTGATGATTTGATACTTTTTCTGGTAATAAGACCTGATTGCCATCTCATGGGTATTTGAGGATTGGTTGAACTCTGGTCTGGTGAGGGAGGCCCTGCCTTGTAACCAGGGCTTCAAACTCCTTGGTTCCGGTTCAAACTCTACGGAGAATTTTAATTTTCACCCCAGATATACTGAATCTGAATCTACATTTTAACAAGATCCTCACGTGATTCTTATGTATAATAAATTCTGCTCTACTAGTGGGTCTCAAAATTGGTCCCAAATCAGCAGCATTAGCATCAAAAGGGAACTTGTTAGAAATGCAAATTCTCAGCAGGGGTTCAAATCAGAACAAACTGGTTTGAAGCCCTGCTTATAACTGATAAGGATCAGGACAAATAAGCAGCTAAATGCAGAGGTTTGAGAAGCCTCCGGGCTGAGAGAGATGCTAAGAGCTGGGCTGTTAGACAAGCAGAGCCACATGGGTGCCTAGTGGTCCTGCAGCCACTACACTGGCTATAAGCTGGGCCAGTCAGCAACAGAGAGGCTGACGACAGAGAGCAACTACGAAACCTGAGCAAACTGCTACACTGGCTGAGCTGGGCCACTTAGTGGCAGGGAGCCCAACAGCGGGGAGAGGCCTGCATGGCAGAGAAGGCAGCAGCCCAGCAGAGAAGCCACACCCACTAATCACAGGAGGCCTGTGCTTCCTGACACTGATCCCAAGTTGTTCTTGTTACTTCCAAGTTGATCCTTATCCTGAGTTGTAGCCTGTTACTTCCCTAATAAACCACCTAACCACGAGTCTGGTCTGGAGTACCGTGTGGCCATTGCAACGAATTATCGAACCCTGCAGAGAGGTAGAGAATGCCAAAGGAAGAACAGCTGGTGTCAAATGGTGACAAAGTTGGAGAGCAGAGTATGTCTGACCTCAACCTCATAGGAACCACTTTTGTGCTGATCCTGATTTTTATCCCTCATGAATTTAGACAAATCATTTCATGGTATTACATGACCATAACCAGGAGAGCCGTCTCACGCCCCACAGTACCCTGGCAGGACATGACTATGCCTACCTCGAGCAAGAAGGGGATACAGCAGCTGAGGTGGGACTCTCCTGGCCAAGGTTACACACCAAATGCTCATTAGGCCAAATCACTGTGGCAAGTTGTCAAACCTTCCTTTCTCCAGACCCCAAGAACCCTTTGCCCCAACAGCAGATGGCCCAGTCCCACCATCCTCCAATGAGAGCACGCACACACGAGTCAGTACAAAAGCCAACACTTTAATGAGAAGGGGCGGTGACAGCACGGACGTTATCACTACAACGGATAGCGCCAGCTGTGCACGCCACCACTGTCATAACAAGCAAGCAAATGGACAAACTACAAACCCTTCAACGTTCCAAAGATCCTGAGTAGACAGAATTGTTTATTTAACCACATAAAATGCATATATAGGAAATTTCTCTATTTAGGGGCTGGTGACCTGCACGCAGCATTGCACAGATAAAAATATACGACTTTCAACACAGATCGAAATGCCTTCACATTTTAAAAACCAAAGTTCTCTACACAAGTTTCAAGCTGACAGAATCCAATTGAGTTTTCATATACAGCTTTCACCTGTATTAAACACGTTTATTTACAACACTGACAGAGAATAAGGGGCTATTAAGGCCATTTTCTCATTTTGTACTGTTAAACACGGAAAATATGTACATAAGTACAACCTAATATAGGCAGAGATTCTAAAAATCATTCTTCTTGGTTTAACGTAATTGGGCATCTATATGGGGGAGAGGAGACAGCTTGTCTTTAGCACCGAGCTCCACCACCATCACCATGCACGCCTCTGTTCCTTCCAGCAGCCGGTAGGCTGGGGGTGCCCCGTGCTCAGAAGGGTATGCGCCTTGAACCCAGGCGCAGAGTCGTGGGCAGGTGCACAGGCCGGCCACCTGAGGGGCACCTCACTGCCCTCTCAATTCCACCTTCAAATTCATAACAAGGTCCAAAGAGTCAGTAGCATTCCCAAAGGGAGCCACGCAGAAGTCACAAGGTGAGTGGCAGGAGGGCTTGGGCAGGGCAGAACTCCATGCCCTGAGAAGTGGCTGTCCAGCAGCCGCCGCAGGGCCCGCGCTCACCTGCGGTGCCTGCTGTGCCCGGGGTGGTCCCGCTCGTAGCGGCGGCCCGTCCGCTCATATGACCGAGAACGCTCCCGTCTCTCATCTCGGTAGTAATGACTTTTCTTCTTGTATTTCCCAGGATTCTCTGCCCGCTCCTGCGAGTGGCTTCGAGAGCGAGACGAGCTCCGGCTCCGGGACTTTGGAGGCTTCTGCGTGGGGTACTTGCAGTCCCTGGACTTGGTGTAGCTCCTCACCTTGGAGCCTTTGTATGGGGCACCATGGCGCACCTGCCTCGGGGGTGAGTCACTGCGGCTCCGTGAGCGGCTCTGGGACTTGGACCCACTGGACGTTGATCCACTGTCACTTTTCCTGGAGGAAGTGGGGGAGGGACCACCGTTCCAGTGACTGATCATCCCAACCAGAACCCATGGACATACCATGAGGGGGGTCACAGAGACTCAGGCCCCCACTCCACAGGGAAATCGGCCTCTACCTGTCTGTGCCGCAGGTGAGCCAAGCAGCACATACCTTCTCTTTGGGGAGACGGACCCTGACCGGGATCTCGAGGGGCTCTGCTCACGACTCCGGCTCTGGCTCTCTCTCCCCTTTGGCAAGCTGTGAGGGAGAGACAGTCAGACCTGGAGTCCTCCCAGTTAGCCCCCAGTTGCTGCAAAGGCAGGATGTGGCAGGTGGTCTTACCCGTTCACTGGGCTATCAGCCTTTGCTTTCTTCGAGGCCTCTGCTTTCCTCTTGGTGTTCTTCACAGACAGCGGAGAGGGCTTATTCCCTTTGCCTTCTTTGGGGGATTCTACTAGAATCAAGTACAAGGAGTTAAAAATCGACCATCAGAAAACCGTTTTGATAAGGGGCAAGACTCAGCAGAGTAAGACATGGCCACTCCACGGGACAGATGGGACACAAGCTGACAGGGACTTTCTGCTCCTGGCCTGGGACTCGAAACCTCGCACGAATCAGAGATGCAGACAGACCATGTGTGTCCCTCATTCCTTGGGGGCAGGGGCTTCAAGTCTAGGATCTGACAGTACAACCTAGTGCCCCCAAGCTACTGATACAATCCCAAAAGGGCTCTAAGGGAAGGCGGGCAGGCACATCCCCAGATGAGAGAGCTCAGGCTCTGGGCTCCCCACACTCACCAAGCTTTGGGGCGGGTGAGAACCCAGATGTGCCGTCCAGAACCTGCGTGCCACCAGCAAGCAGGCCCTTCGCCTGTGCCTTTGCCTCCTCAATGGCATGCTTTCTCTTTTCCACTTCACTTTCCAGGTGTGTCAGATCAACCTGCAAAAGCCACCACCAATTCAGAACCAGACGTTTCTAGTCAAACACAAATGCATGTGTCACGTGAAAAAACATAAAAGAACCTTTTTCCGAGTATACAGCTGCAGGATTTTTAAGCAAATCTCTTGGATTTCTTCTTCAGTTGCTCCAAACAAAAGAAACCAGTGGGGACGATTAGGCAGAGGAATCTGTAAACGTAAATGCCACCACATTAGACTTTTCTCAGCATGTCAGGCCAGCAACATGTTTTAAGTACTCGAGTGATGTACTTTTAGGGGCACAGTGGAGGCAAATCCGAAGTAGCGCACACAGGTGTCTCCAGGTGAACACTGACCTCGAGTGTGCGGGCAGCGAGGTAAATGCAGGCACAGGCGATGCTCTCAGGCTGGAACCTCACGAACACGTCTGTGCGAAGGCTGTCGTTCATGTAGTTCCTGAAAAGCAAAAGCAGAAGAATTGCAGCACCTGGCACCTAGACCTCCATCTGCACATCTAGATAAGGTGCTCCCCCTCTAAATGATCTACTGCCAGGGCTGAGGGCGTGGCAGTCATGGGAGCCTCAAGAGCTAGTGGAAAAATATCCTAGCTGCTTTTTCTGTATACAGAACAGGGAGATAGAGAATTTAAAAAAAAAAAAAAAAAAAAAAGCTGGCCGAATGTCAGACAATACATATTGCTATGAAAGAGAACCGATTTTAACTTCACTTTTCCCTCAGTCTTGCCCTGCTTTCATGCAAAGCACAATGCCTCAGGAGGAAAATGTCCACCTTAGTGGTTAAAATGCATCTGAATAAAGAAGTCTAAATGCTCAAAATCCACAGTGCAGAGAAACATGCAAACTCAAAGGAATGGGCTGAGCATAAGCCCAGGGGGGCTTTTCTGAGGCCAACGTCCTCTTCCGGTCCGTCCTCCGAGGGGCATGCAGCCTGCCCCCTTACGACTGGGCACGGCTTCCAGATGGAGTCCACTTGGAGGGGGGCACCCGCAGTGCAATCCAGGCGCACAAGGACATCCTGCAGGAGGGTCAGCACCCCAAGGAAGTCCTCTTCTCAGGCTTATCAAAGAACCGTTTCCAAATTGTCCCATTGCAACAAGGAGTCTTAAAGTGAACATTCATAAAATCAGACAACAACAACAAAATACTAAGTGTCATCACAATCAGTACATTTTTATAGTGTTACCATACTTTGAAGATATAAAAATACAAAACATGTGCATTTCTTAAAAAGTTAAAGGGCTTTCAAACTGACTACGTTTTCAACATTTTCCTTTAGATATATTTCTCCAAAAACTTAATAGACTAAAACCGGACTTTGTACTAGCTCTATCAACATTGCAGAAACAGGGGATTAATCCCACAAGAAAACAGTTGAATAGACATTTATGAGATGAATATGTATTTACTGCTAACAGACCCCACTGCAGCCACCCTCAAGTCAGGCCGCACTCACAGCAAGATCAGGCCCACTATTGTTTTATTTACACCCCCCACCCCTCTGTGATCTCTGCCCTCATCCCTGGAGGATATAATACGCAAACCCACTCAGGGATTTCTAAAGGGTCACTTCTACAGACACCATCACCAGCATCTGGTTCTCAATGGCCTGCTCAGGGCCCCCAGAGGTGACTGAGGAACAACTTTTCAAATAAACAGTTCAAACATTTTTAAACATAACCATCAATAGTGATTTTCTGATTTCTAATAAAAAAATTTCCAGTACTCAGCTAGTGAAAATAACATTAATCTATTAACTTTTAAGTCCTAAAATCAAGTCTTCAAAACATGTTTAAACTTACTGCTCTATTTGAAATTAAATTACAATATTTGAAACAGTGTCCATGGTATAATTTAAAGATGCACACCTTTTACTAGAACATGTCAATGCTCAGCTGCTAAGAACGGCTTGAGGGCATTTAGAAATAATGCCACGACCTCACACTGCCCGTCTGAGTCCCCAATGGCCAATTTGTCACCTCCACTCTTACCGCCTTCCACAGGACTTTTAAAGAAAAAGGTGTTGCATCTTTATTGTACAGGTACAGCAGTTTTAAAGCGACAAAATTCAAGTTGAGACAGTTACCAACTCTAATCAGTACATTATTAAGGCAGAACAGAGAATGAACAAGAAGCACAGTCCCAGAGAACCACACGCAGCACCGGCCATTACTATACTATCGTTGGCATACCACCGGTCTAGAGCCAGCCTTCTGTGGAGAGCCTGCATTGGATTGGCTGAAGACGGCCGCTGTCCTGCACCAAAGCGCTTGGACAGCAGAGGAGAAGTCTTAGTCACTTACCCTCAGAGGCTACCCTTCGATTGAAAGAGTACAGAAAAGAAAAGTCAAAATAGGTTCTCTATTAAACACCATAGCACCAGACATTTCAGTCAGCAAAAATATGACCCTTATAGACTTAGCTCCATAGAAAAATTCACCAGGGCACCCCAAACACTAAGCTGTTACTCCGGGCTTCAATTCTAGCATATGCATTGTTATGACCAGTCCGGGAGCTATAGGGGAGTCTTATACCTCTCTTCCACCCAGATTTCTCACAGGGAACCAGTAAGAAGACACTTCACAGTAGAGTGAGGCCACCAAGTCTGCTTTGGTACCCGAGGCCTTCACTTTCCCTGGGGAAGATCCCTGATGGGCCACGGGGGAAAGGGTAGATAGAGGCCACCTTACCGTTAAGCCAGTGCCTGCATTTTGGGAAGCTGACTGGAATTTACACAGCAGTAACACTGGGCACTCCAGACAACTCCAGCCCACAGCCATGAGCCTGACTACCCACTGCCCAAAGGGCCTCAAACGAACACAGTCTGCCACTGCCCTTGCTGGTCCCAAACAACAAAGAAAATCAACTCACCATGACGTCTGGACCAGGTGTTGGTTACGCTCACACTCTAACACCTGAAGGTACATAACGATTATCTGGAAGATACGGGTCAGGGAGTTATTACCGTGAACCTTGAGAACCAAGCATTCAGATCTCTGGGGCATCCATGCAGCAAGTAAAAGCCTCATGCTAGATTTAAGGACTGGGCTCCTGGTCACACACCAGCAGCAGCTCAGCAGAGGTGAGCGTTGCTAACACACCTGCTCCCTGCTCTGGCAGCAGGCAGCAAGCATGCAGGTGAAGACGAGCTGCCCCATGGCTGAAGGCCTCCTGCTCGCAGCAAGTGCTCGGCCTGTCCCACGCTCATCTTCAATACCTTTTCCACCATCGATATTAGCCTGCCCTAAACATCTCTGCATCCCAATCGCCAACTTATCGCAATAAGAAGACACTCTCAGCAAGTAAAGAAAAACACTTAGCTCTATTGGTATTTTATCAAGAATTTGAAACATCGCTGAAAGTCAAACTAAGTAAGAGAAGATACAAGCAAATCCATCAACGAAAAGAAGGTGAATTAAAAGATGTAGACAGCAATCTTTTGTTAAAACGTGTTTTGTTCAAGTATAACACAGGAGATAGATCCACAGCACTGAAAGTAAACTTAGAGTGCGGCAGCCATCCTCCCAACTAACGTGCTGCAAAACTGGTTTAATTCATTTCAGAGTACAAGGGTCCAGAATTCTTCCCCTTCCCCCATGACAGGAAGAAAAACTATTCCTAGTACACCTTCTGAAAACAATCAGCTCTGTTGAAAAAGAAAAATGTCTGACAAATTCAATTTTTACAGATTTGTCACTATTTTTGAAAGTTTAAACTTAAAAGATGCCATTTCCACAACGCTTAAAAATATGTTATCAAAATGAAAAGGTAACACAAGAAAGTTAGGAATGAAGAATTATTTAAGATTACAGATATAAACTAGAAAACCAAGCCAAGGAAGCATTTAAATTCTCTCCGGAGACTTCATTCACTGTGAAAATGGAAAAATGAGGCGGCAAAAGCTGAAAGGCAATATAGTGGGCCACACACTAAGCCCCATACCCACCTTGTGAGGGTGCTTCACATGGACACAGAAGCCCAGCTCTTTGAGAACTCGTCTTTCCGCCTTTATAATTTGGTTCTTTAAATTAACATAATCTTGATCTAATAGTAGAGGCACAGGTTTCCTACAAAGACATAGCACATAGCCTGCATAAGGGTCAAATAAAATGAGGTCTTCCAAACCCCATTAATTACCTCCAAAGGGGAGAGTCTTACAAACACCACAAGGCAGACGTCACTAGAAAGTGAATTTCCCTTCCTCTAACAAAATCACAAAGACCTCAAACCCCAGTGTTAACCTAGTGTTTCTTCTCAGTCATCTTTCCCCTGATGCATAATTAACACCAGCTAAATATAGCGGAGGGTCTCACCACAGAGGGGGTGAATGTACTTTGTGTGACTCAAGATACATGCGTACACGTTTGAGAAGAAATGAAAAACCAGAGAACCAATTACAAGATGACATTTAACAATAGACGGAGCTCTGTTTTCCAAAGGAATTCCACCTACTTTAGGAGTCTAAAGTCTAGCTAGACGTTACGTGGTTCTCAACTAGGTGCAATTTTGCTATCCCAGGGACAACTGGCAATGTCTGAAGATATTTTTGGCTGCCACAAGTGGGGGGTGCTACTGGCATCTAGTAGGTAAAAGACGGGAAGCTGCTAAACACCCAATGATGCAAAGGACAGTCCCCCGCAACAAAGAACCATCTAATCCCAAACGTCTGTAGTGTCAAGGTTGAAAAACTCTACTCTAGAGCATTCAGAGACATGCAATAAACAAGAAACGATATGGGGGTGACTACATGGGCAAACCAGGAAGCCAACACCAGAAAAACCGCAGCCACAGGTCCTCTTTCCTCCTTGGTGCCGTCCCCTCGTTCACCAAACACTATCAGTTGAGTATGACACCTGTTCTGGGCACTTGGGTATATATAATTGAATAACCTACCAGTTTAAAACCGCACAGTCTGAGCTTTGTTACAAAAATGTTATAGCAACTTAGTCACAAAAACAAGAGAAAATTCTGACAGCTCTAATAAAAGACTCACTTTTTCTCTCTCAGGTGTCGGAGGCGATGAAACACATTGATGACGTCTCGTATCCGTCTTGGAGCCTCTTCGATTTTGGAGGCGAGATGTACGCAGGCCATTGACACATGCTAAAACGTAAGCAATGCAACACACATGCTTGTTCTACTCCTGATAGCCTCCAAAGAAGTAGGAAGAGCGACTAACACCAAACGGGAGGTGCACCGAAGGCTCCTCCAACCCTGAAATGCAGAGCTGGGTCTCCCAACTACAGGCCTGGGTTTCATTTGGGCATATTTCCATGGACAAAAAGGCCCTTACCTCCATGGAATGCTTCACAAAGGACTTGGTATAAAAGAACCGCTGGAACAACACCTGCCCGGTAGCCATAGCCACCTAAAGAAGAGAGTTTCCCATCATTTCCAAGCGCTCAATTCAAGGATTTCACGGTTAAACACAAATTACCGGGCTTAGTGTGGCTCCTGATAGAGAACCAAAACCAAAACTGTTTTCCACAAAGGCTCCTAGTTTCCCACTGCATCGGCCACGGCTCCGGGGAAAAGACGGAGGAGGGAGTCGCATAAGACCCGGCTCCAGGCAGGAGACGAGGACGAGGGTCGCGCTAGGCCCGGCTCCTGGGCGGAGGCCGCGCTAGGCCCGGCTCGACCGCCAACAAAGGGCCGGGCCGCTCCCAGCGTTGGCCGACTGTTAACCTGGCCCGAGGCTCGCGACAGCGAACTCACCTGGGGCAGACGGAGCAGGATGCCGGCTGCCTGGATGAGCTCGCAGCCCACCACGCGGAGGCCGGTCTCAATGTCGGTGTCGAGGCCGCTCGACATGGACGGCGTGAAGCGAAGCTTGTCGTCGGGCAGGAGACAGTTCTCCAAGGTGATCAGCACCCCGGAGTACAGCCTGTCCCCGATCAGCACCCCCTGAGACCCGGGTGCTGCGCTCCCCGCGCCCGGAGCCCCGGTCGCTGCCGCGGTGGCCGCAGGCCCCGGAGCTCCGGCCGCCGCCGCCGTCGCCGCCATTTTGTGCCGCCGACTTCCCTTCGGCTCCTTCCCGGCAGGGCGGCTCCTCGCGACGCTCTACGGTCGCCGCCCCGCCTCGCGCGCGTCATTGGCTCAGCCTGCGGGGCGGCCGGGCTCTGCCTGGCCGCGATTGGCTTTGTGGCCTGCCCGTCAGCGTCGCCCCTGACGGCGACACCGGGAATCGGCGCGAGCGGGGGCGGGCTCGTTACCCAGGGGGCTCCGCGGCGCCTCGGGCTAGGTGGCCCCAACCAGGAAGCCGCGCGTTTTTGGAGATCTAGACGCGACCGCGCGCCGGGATCCGCGCTCGTTCAGCCAGTAGGGCCCCCGTCAGCACTGAGACCCAGCTATGCGGAAGCTCGCGCGTTCCCACCCCGGCTGGCAGAGCGGGGCGGGGCGGGGCCGTCCAGGCGGGTGGGTTCCGTCTTGACTGGGCCAACCCCCAACCTGCCGTCCCGAGACGGCCGTCCCTCCCTGTCTAGACGGGCTGTGTTCCGGGAAGCTGCGTCCTAGTTGTGAAGAGCACGGTAGAGGGGTGGGTAGATGGTGGAAGTGTGGTGATGCCTCTCTCGCAGGAGGTTGACAGGTGCTTGGTAAATCGCCCAAGTCTGGGGAGACTTGACCTAGCAGCTCAAACAATGCCACATGTGATCCAATTTTTCCTCTCCACCTTCCGTGGGCAAGCTAGTTTGAGTCCACCCACCTCCCTTGTTCTCAGCACACCATACAGGAAAGGAGAAGGAAGTCCTCTCCTCCGGAAGTCCGAGCAATCATCTTGTTTCTTCTCGGCCTTACATGGGTTGCTTGTCCGTTACCTGGACAGTGATTGGGCAGAGTGGGAAAAGCTGCTGGCTCCAGTCAGGTCCAGGCCTGGAGTTGGGGGCAGGGCCACTGATGCCTGCCTGCACCGGGGAAAACGTGGATCCTGGGCCTGAAGGGGGGCAGCCTACAGCCCCAACTTCCTTCACTGAGATGAAACACAGAAGAGAAGTTCAGTCCCTGCCAAAGGGCTCTGTTTTCCACCCAGCTGTCTGCTCCCTGACCTTGTACTGATGACTGTGCAATGAGTGCTTGTGTGCTGCCAGCATCACCCTCAGTGCCAGGAAACCACAGAGCTCAACTCAGCCCCTGGGGCCCCCGGCCTCCAGCCTCCAAATGCGCACAGCGTGGGGACGTTGTGTACATGGGGACAAGGACCAGGAGGAGGGTCGCTTAGGTCTGAGCCAAGGTGGTTGCAGTGTGGGTGGAGACGTAGAGGTCCATGGACCGGTCAGTGTGCGGTGGGAGGTGGTGCTGAGTCTGAGGAGGGACCCACAATGGGGTCCTGGTGACTGCTGGCAAAGGTGAGGAAGGTGTTGTCGCCCACAGTGGAGCCCCTGACCAGTGGGCAGACATCGGAGCTGCTGGACAAGCAGTCTTGGAGCTTGGGGAGTTGGCTTTGGCAGGAGACGTGAGGGAGCCAGTGAGTAAGCATGTGGAGGCCCAAGCCCTGGGGACAGGACCTCACAGGGCAAAGGGAGGCAGCCACGATGTCACAGACTGTGGAAAGGGCAAGTGCCACAAGGAGTGACTGTTCCCTGGGATCAAAGGCTGCTCAGAAGCAAGAGGCCAGGGCTGGAGTGTGTGGGATCTAGGCTTTGGTAAGAGCAGCCTAAGGGATGGTGGACCAACTGCCAGACCAGAGGACAGGAGGCAGCAAGGGGCCAGTCACTTGGCAGAGAAAGAGAGCAGGCCATGGTAGCAAAGGGGGACACAGACAAAGGGGGGTTCATGACACGAGAGGCCAAGGTCCCGGCTTCAGACCATGGTGAGGGCCTGACCCTGTGTGGGGAGAGGTGAGGTGTGGACACCTCTGCACAGAGATGCTCTGAGGTCACCGCAGTCAAGAGGTGGACAGGAGGGCAGGCAGCATGAGGAGGATAGGTAGGCCATTCCCACTGGGAAGCTTATTGAGAAGAGATTCCAGGCTGGACTTCATGAGGTGTCTCAGGGAGGGGAACTAACCTGCCTGCTGTGGGAGGGCAGGACATCCAGGTGAGAGGTGGAGGGGGCTCTGCAGATGAACTAAGGCTAGCATGACTAAAGAGCAGGCCACAGGGTCCCTGCTACAAACACCAGGAAGGGGGGCGGGGTGAGAAATAGGGGTGAGGCCCAAGCACAGGAGTAAGGAACCCACCTGGGGGAACTTGGCAAAGACAGATAGTGCTGGGCATCAGAGCCCAGGCAGTGCATCCTGGGGGTGGCAGGGGATGCCTGACATAAGCCCGGATGCAGGTCCAGGAACTGGGAAGCTGGATGCAGTGTGGGCCACCTTATGCCCTGGAGGAGAAGTGATGTCTGTGTTTATAGGCTTGGTGTAAACCCCCCACCTACAGAAGATGATCTAAGATTCCAAGGGAGGAAGCAGCATGCTCAGGTGGCATCCTACAACCTGGGACCTAGAGGGTACCACTGGGCAAGTACATCCCCAAGTGAGCACACCCCAGGGCCAGGGCACTCCCAAGGTGAGTATACACACCTACCAAGGTGGAACACCAGCCCCCACCAGGCCAGGGCACCTGAGGCAATTGCACCCCTTGGGGTGCCCTGTTTACTGGATGCAAGAAACACAACTTGCAAAGCAGACCACCATACAAGCTTTATCTTTATGATCTATATAAGACAGGTCTGTGAACCTGTCCCAACAGGAAGGAAGACAAGACCTTTCTCTCACACTTGCTAATAAAACATAAACATTTGTAAATTGACTTACAAACTCTCGGCTAGACTTACTTCTCCTATTTTAGTCGTTAGGACCATCAGGAGAAAAACATCTTCTAAGTCACACAATGGCGAGCAGGACCTCAGCGGTAGTGCACCACACGGGAGAACACACCTTCTGGCTCCTTCCCATCCCCCAAGGCAGCAGCAAATCCCTCCTCTCGCCTCCTTTTGGCCAAAGCCGCCAAAGATTTAAAAGTCTTTGGTTCATAGATGGCCAGGTCCGCAAGCACTTTCCTGTTGAGCTCCACTTGGCACTGGGAGAGAAGACAGCGGTCAGGGTCAGTAGTGCATAGTCAGGGACGGACAGTGGTCAGAGTCAGAAGCATGCTTGGGCAAACTGAGTACAACCCCACACAGTGGCCCCTCACACGGGCATACTCTGTATGGCACATCAACAACATGCTCACACAGGAGTGGGGGCAGGTCCTGAGGAGGACAGGGGTGGGAGGCCCACCAGGCTGAGCCGTGCAAGGGCACTGAGGAAGCTGTGGGACGTGAGGAGGAGGCCAAGGCCAGGATCTGGTCGTGGGGCCAGCCTGGACATGGAGACCTCATTCAGGGTTCACAGTTATCACCTAGAACAGAGACTGCTGGCCTAAGGTAATTCCTAAATTAAGCCAGAAGGGAAGATCACAGCCCCTATTTTACAAACGTTGAGAGTGAGACCCAGACAAAGTGTGCGCAAGGCCTACACAGCAGAAGGCGGAGGGAAGGCGCATTCCCGCAAGGGCACTGAGCTGAGTCACCTACCAGGTAAAACTGTCAGTTACTTCAGAAAGCAACTGCCAGAAGTCTAAGGACAGGAAAAGGGGATGTCTTCATCCACTAAATACAGCTAGGGGAGGACAGGGTGGCCCTGGCTTCCCACCTGGGACCTGTGAGCCCTAGAACAGAGTCCTCTCCATTCTTAAGCGTCTGTCCCCATCAATAACATGGGACATCGTACCTAAGCATAACATGAAAGATCTTTGTAATGTGCCAAAGGTGGTGCCTGGTTAGACACACAGGACAATACCGGCCCCATAACTTTTTAAGAAAACATGTTAAATGTACACAAAAGCACAGGGAATCCAGCTATTACCCAGACTCAACAAATACCATAGCTTTGCCATACTTGCTCAGTCTATCCCTTCCTCACAGCAAGTCTCCCTGTTTTGATTGTATGTATTTCAACTTCACTAAATTCTGCAGTGCTTTATCTGCAGTGCTAAAACTCTGAAGTTAAACTTTAAAGTTAGAGTCAAGTTTTTCTGTCCTTCCTCTTATGGGGAAACTCCAGGCTCACAGCTGCCCCACGTGCCACCAGCAGGGCAGGAAAGAAACAGAGTTGTGAGCCCTGAGCCTGCCAGTCCCCACCAACTGCAGAAGCAGCATTAGGGCATACCCCGCAGCTCTGCCTGCCGGTCTGACCAGCTGGACTCACGCCAGATGCGACAGTTTCTGCAGACATCCAGCCCTGTCACAGGGGCTCCATCCTCACCATACCTTAATTAAATTTCCAATGAAGGCCGGGTACTTCAGGCCATGCTCCTGGGAAGCAGCTGTGATCCGATTGATCCAAAGCTGAAATAAGAAACCATACAGGTATCTAAGAACTAGTTGTGTATGTTACATGCACAGCTCCCCAGCAAAGACCCTATAGAACTAAAATATATTTTTGTAAAAGTAAATATTAAAGTGTTTTCTACTCAAGCAAAGGTTGATACTCTTCATCCAAACACAAGCTTCATCTCCAAATCTAAGTAGGGAATCTTCTCACTGTAAGATGCTGCATTGACTCAACAGACTTTTTGAGCAAACATTAAGTGCCATGCCACAGTCTAACAAAGGATCCATGTGGATGAGTAATTACAGCCACCAAGATGAAAGCTAAGAGAGGAAGGACAAAGTACCCAAGTAGAAGCTTCGGGGAGTGAACAAGCTTAAGGGAAGAGGCTGGGAAAGTCCTTGGCAGAGGACCTCACAGACAGAGAATGGGGGTCTCTTCTAAGCACTGCAAACATGGCCTGCACGCTGTGGCCTGGGTGAGGCTAGTGGGAGCCAAGGAAAGATCTGGAAGGCCATGGCCCCAAGGCACATTTAGAAGTTAGACAAGAAGGATGGGAAAAGGCAAGTCAACATGCTACTCGGTGGCTGGGACACAGCACAATGGAGTTTCTGAGGGATCACGGGCATGCACCCCAGCGTTCTGGGTCCTGGTCTATTAAACAGGGCGGTCTCTGAGGGTACTCTCTCTTTTAAGCTGTGTGTTACTCTTGCATCTTTAGACACTGTCCAAGTCCCTCGTAGGTGACTGGCAGGGTTTTCCAGAGTTTTGGTTTTTACCCCGAGTGCTATGAGAAGCCACCAAAGCGTTTTACACAGCAGAGAGATGTGAGCTGTAAAGGGTAGTGGTTGGAATGAAGCAGGGAGACTGGCAAGCAGGCTCTGACTGTGACCCAGGTGAGATGGTGGTGGCTGGGAGCAGGGTGGTGGCAGTGGGATAGTGAGGAAAGGTGGGATTCTTGCTAGCTGATATGCCATCTGTGGGGCAAACAGAATTTGCCTGGGCTTTGGATGTGAGGTGTGAGAGAAACAAAGGCGTCGAGGATAATGCTCAGGTTTTTGACTCCAGCAAACGGAAGGTTGGAGAAGACATTCCCTGGGGAGGGCCCAGTGATCTGGGGGGAACACCAGGAGTTTCGCTCTCAGATGCCCAGGGCAGAGACTGCATCCTGGAATTAAGAGAGAGGCCATTCTGCCCTGCAGCGACAGTGGTCCCACTGGAGTGGAGACGAAAGGGGCTGAGGGGCAGCCGGGCTCTGCTGGGTCCACCAGGGATCCACGCTTACTGTCCTCATGTTCCTCTTCTTCAATCTTCGTGCTTTCGTACATTTCACAAAGGCTCTAATCACAGCTCTGGCTGCCAACCTGTAGCACCGATTCTTCCTTCCCCGGAAGTGCTGGGTGAAAAAAACAGGAAACGGGGTTTGCTCGTGGGGCCTGCATCAGTGAGCCATGGGCTTCCTGGGCCCCGTCTGCGTGCCACTATGCGGCACGGGTGTGCCCAGTGGCTGGCGCGCCGGGTGGGGAAGCTACCCAGTGGGCACAGAGAGGCAAGCGGCAGATTGTGCGGGCAAGCACTCACCCGGGCGTGCTTCAGCACCTCCTGGACCCGCCAGTAGCGGTCAGTGAGGCGGCTTCGCAGCCACAGCTGTGTCGTGAGGAAGACCATGGCACCCACGGACCAGCGTTCGGGAGTCAGCAAAGCACACACCGCGCCGCCATATTGAAGGGGGCGGAAGCGGTGGCTGCGCGCGAGCACTTCCGGGTCAGGTCAAGGCCGGACGAGGACTTCCGGGGCGTCGCGCGTGCGCCTTGCGCGTGGGTCCCTACAAACATCTTACAGACCGCGAGCTCTCGAGAACTGAGCTTGTCTTGTCCAGGCTCCCGCCGTAGATTCAGTAAATCCCTTGGAGGTCCTACTTAGGCCGGACGCTAGCTGCTGGGATGCGACCATGAACAAAACAGCATCTCTGCCGCGCGGAGGGGTTGTTGTTAGGTACTGTGGTGTCGGTTGCGACTCATAGCGACCCCATATACCACGAAACGAAACACTGCCCGGTCCTGCGCCATCGTCACCATCGTTGCTATGTTTGAGCCCATTGTTGTTGCAACCATTGTGTCAGTCCATGATGACACAGTATGATGTGTCAGCATTACTAAGCATGATGCTCTTCTCCAGGTCCCTCCTGACCTGAAAACCTGTCCAAACTATGTGAGACTTCGTCATCCTCCCTTCCAAGGCGCACTCTGGCTGTACCTGAGTTAACTCTATAGATAGTGATGCGTGCTGTGGAAAAAATAAAGCGAGGAAACGCAAATGTTCATGAACTAATCAGTGGATAAACAAAATGTAGTGTATCCATGCAATGGAATATTTACTCGGCCATAAAAAGGAATGAAGTTAGGATATATGCGAAAAGACAGAGGAACCTTGAGAACATGCCACTTGAAAAAAGCCAGAGACAAAAAGCCACATAAGATTCCGTTTATATGAAATGTCCAGAATAGGCTAGGGAGAGGGGTATTGGGGAGTGATTGCTAATGGGTAGGGTTTCTTTTGGGGGTGATGAAAATGTTAACTTGATAAAGGTGATTGCACAACACGGTGAATATAATTAATGCGGACACTGAATTGTACACTTTAAAATGGTAAGTTTTCACTGGTCTCACCCAGTCTGGAACAAGGGAAAATGAAGAAAACCAAAGACACAAGGGAAAGATTAGTCCAAAGGACTAATGGACCACAACTACCACGGCCTCCACCAGACTGAGTCCAGCACAACTAGATGGTGCCTGGCTACCACCACCAACTGCTCTGACAGGGATTACAATAGAGGGTCCTGGACAGAGTGGGAGAAAAATGTAGAACAAAATTCTAACTCACAAAAAAAGATCAGACTTACTGGTCTGACAGAGACAGGAGAAATCCCTAGAGTATGGCCCCTGGACACATTTTCACTCAGTACTGAAGTCACTCTTGAGCTTCACCCTTCAGGCAAAGATTAGACCGACCCATAAAACAAAACAAGACTAAATGGGTACACCAATCCAGGGACAAGGATGAGAAGGCAGGAGGGGACAGGAAAGCTGGCAACAGGGAACCCAAGGTCAAGAAGGGGAGTATTTGACAACTGTGGTGTTGGCAACCAATATCACAAAACAGTATGTGTATTGTTTAATGAGAAACTAATTGTGTAAACCTTCATCTAGAGCACAATAAAAAAATAAAAAATGGTAAATTTTGTATTTATGTTACAATAAATAATAAAGCAGGAGAGCAAGTGAGGGTGTGCAATTTCTTTGGAACTTCTTATTTAGATATAATTTTCAATCACAGAATAGCTGCAAGACCTAGTACAAGGAACTCCAGAATACTCTGCCCAAAGGCACCAACTGTTTACATCTTGTTTCATTTGTTTTATTCTCTCTAATACTCCTTACCAAAATGCAGTTTACATTTTGTTCCTTTTTTTTTTTATCATTTTCTGTATAAATATTTATAAACACATGTGCAATGCAGTGAATTACTTAGTATGGCCCTTCTAGCCATAGTCCTAACTCTCACCAAATGACTGGGTGAGACTATGCAAATGAGGTGCTAATGGCCTACCAAGGGGATTGGACAGCTTGCTAATAATGCCAATAAGGTACATGGCACCCTTGTGAGAGAGGGACCATGCAAATAAGGTATATGGAACCCTAACGAGGGAATTGGTCAGTTTTGCCATCCTGCTAGGCATAAAATGAGCCATCCCAGAGGCGAGAAGGGGGGATATTACTACCATCAAGAAAAAGACGGGAGCAGAGTGTGTTCTTTGGACCCAGGTTTCCTGCACTGGGAACCTCCAAGACCCAGGCGACACAGAAAAAGAGCTGTAACATGAAGACAACAAGAGACAATGGCAAGAAGCACTGGCAGAGAACGGGTGGCAGCAGAGGCAGCAGAACCAGGAAGCCAGCAGGAGATGATGGGTTTCCCGGCCAACAGAGCGAGAAAGCTGAGTGCCTTTCGGTAGGAAGCTTGCTGGTGGAGTGGGGTGCCTCCGGGTACCTGGCAGAGCTAGGCTCACCGATAGAGCTAAGAGTTGTAACACTTGCCCAAGAAGGCCCTGAGCAGAGCCCAGCAGCAGAAGGCCCTGAGCAGGGCCAAGCTGCGGAGGGTGAGAAGAAGCTGTCCTGATTAAGAATTGTATTCTGAGTTGTTCCTGTTACTTCTAAGTTGATCCTGATCCTGAGTGGTCACCTGTTACTTCCCTAATAAATCCCATAATCTTGATTACGGTCTGTGAGTTCTGGGTGGCCATTGCAACAAATTATCGAACACAGCAAAGAAGTAGAGAGTGCGGTGAGGGATGGTTGGTGTCAGAATTGGTAAAAAGGTTGGTGAGAGGAGGTATGTCTGACCTCCGCCTCATAGGAATTAGCCTGGGGCACTTGATGCTAATAATGATCCTCTTTCCCCCTTGTGAAGTTAGAGGTCAGACGCCTCTGCTGCCAGGCCACTTTTACAACATGCGTGTCTTTTTTCTTAACCATTGGAAAGTAAGCTGGAGATATCCAAATACTTCACCGTGTATTTCCTAAGAACAAGGACATTCTCTTACAAACCACAGTACAACAAGCAAAATCAGGAAATTTAACTTTGATACAATACTATTATCTAACCTACAGTCCATATTCAAATTGCATCAAATGTTCTTTATAGTACGTTTTTTCCCTGTCGAGGATCATGTATTTAGTTGGCATGTCTTTTTAGTCTCTTTTAATCAGGAACAGTTCTTCCGTCTTTCTTGCTTTTGGCATTCTTGAAAAGTATGTTGTTAGGTGCCGTCGAGTCGGTTCTGACTCATAGCAACCCTATGTACTACAGAATGAAACACTGCCCAGTCCTGTGCCATGCTCACTATCCTTCTTATGCTTGAGCCCATTGTTGCAGCCACTGTGTCAATCCATCTTGTTGAGGGTCTTCCTCTTTTTCGCTGACCCTCTACTTTACCAAGTACGATGTCCTTCTCCAGGGACTGATCCCTCCTAACAACATGTCCAAAGTATGTAAGTATGTAGTCTCGACATCCTTGCTTATAAGGAGCATTCTGGTCGCACTTCTTCCAAAACAGATTTGTTCGGTCTTTTGGCAGTCCATGATATATTCAATATTCTTTGTCAACACCACAATTCAAAGGCGTCAGTTCTTCTTCGGTCTTCCTTATTCATTGTCCAGCTTTCGCATGCATACGTTGCAATTGAAAATACCATGGCTTGAGTCAGGTGACATCTTTGCTTTTCAACACTTTAAAGAGGTCTTCTGCAGCAGATTTGCCCAATGCAGTGCGTCTTTTGATTTCTTGACTGCTGCTTCCGTGGGTGTTGATTGTGGAGCCAAGTAAAATGAAATCCTTCACAACTTCCATCTTTTCTCCATTTATCATGATACTGCTTACTGGTCCAGTTATGAGGATTTTTGTTTTCTTTATGTTGAGGTGTAATCCATTTGAAAAGTATAGACCAGTTATTTTGTAAAATGTCCCTCGGTTAGCGTTTGCCTGCTGTTTCCTCACGCTTAGATTCGGGCTATCCATTTTTTGGCAGGATACCACAGAAATGATATTGTGACATCAGTGCAGCATGTCAGGAAGCCATGGCAGTCTATCCCAACATGGATGACGCTAGCTTGGACCACTTGGTTAAGGTCACGTTTGCCAAGCTTTTCTAATATTATTCCCTTGTAATTAATAAGTAGTTTGTGGAGAAATACTTTGTGCATCATTACAAGCCTTCCAGTAAGCAGACACTGAGACAGAGTACAAGATAGAGCACAGAGATTTACTAGGGTAAATGCCTATCAAAGAGGGAGGAAGCAGGATTGGGCAAGCCTCAGACAGGGATGGAGACCTGACAACAGCTGGAATAACCCAATAGTTGTAAAGGAAAGATTGCCCGTTAGAGAGGCCTTGTGATTGGCAGAAATACCCAGGCCCCAGGATCCTTGCTGTGCATAGTCAGTGGCTGGGGTTGCCAGCAAGAGCATGCTGTCAGCTCAAATGCTGTGAAGGCCTTGCCAGTAAATAACAAATCCTGCCTTCAACAGATATCTGAGCAGCACCCTTCCACGGTCTCTGCATTTTCAGATGACATAAATATCTTATCCCCCTTCAAACTGCCACTCACTTATTTTAGCATCCATTGGTGATTTTCTAAATTCACCATTATTTCCACATGTACTTGGCATTCTCCTTAAAGAGGTTTATCTTTCTTTGGTTGGGGGGTGAGATCTTAAATATTGTTATAAGAGTCCTCACTGAGAAGGTGACATATGAGCAAAGAAGGAAGTGATGGATCAAGCCAGGCAGGTATCTAAGGGAAGAGCATACCAGGCTGAGGGAACAGCAAATGCAAAGGACCCACTCCTGGTGTGGACAAGAGACAGCAAAAATGCCAGTATGGTTGGAGTGGAGGGAGTGACTGGCCCAGGGTCAGGTCACTGTTTCTGAGTGAGCAAGTGGGAGCCTCAAGAGGTAAGGAGGCACAGATTGTGTAGGGCCTTGAAGGTGTTGTAAGGACTTTGAAGTTCCAATTTCTGTGCTGGATAACAAGTTACCTCAAAACTTGGTGGCTTGAAACAACCATTTTATTTTGCTTACAATCTTGCGGATCAAAAAGAGTTTATGTGTTAGTTGGCTCAGGGTCTCCAGTGCAGTTGTGTTCAGGTGGCAGATGGAGCCGGAACAGTGGGCACCCCCTCT